AGTTCACTGTTCACTTATAAGCTACACAGCTTTGAAAAATCACGAATACTTTATATTTAGATATTTGTTGGGATTATTGTAAGCAAAGCCCTGTGCTAGACACTTTGCAAACAGTATCATTAATCCTCACAATTTAACAAAATGCCTTTTATTATCCCCATGTTAAAGATAAAACTGAAGCTCAGAAAAAAGTGACTTGCCCAAGGTCACCTAGCTATCTGGAAAGCAGAAACTGAAACATGGGACGAGTACACAATGTCCACATTCTACCAGCTCACACTGACTTTTTACATGTTTTAGAATGCACCTCCCCAATCATCCAAATCCTTATTTTATCACTCTAACATTTTTAGGTTATAGTGAAAAAGACCTACACTTTTAAGACAGAAAGATTTAGGGGCACCTGTGTGGCTCAGTCGGTTAAGCATCTGCCTTTGGCTAAGGTCATGAACCCGGGATCCTGGGATGGAGCCCTGCATCAGGCTCCCTGCTCAGTGAGGAGCCTGCTTCTTCTTCTCCCTCTCCCCCTGCTCATGCTCTCTCTCTCAAATAAATAAATAAAATCTTTAAAAAAAAAAGACAAAGATTTAGGTTGACAGTAACTCTCTATCACTTATTGGCTGCAAAATCTTGGACAAGTTACTTCCTCTGATTCCCCTCCTGCATTCTCTCCTAGGCACCTGGTGGCCCTCAGTAAATGTCAGTGTTCTTCCTTTATTACTTATCACACATTCTGTTTTGTAGTAATGTGTATTTTATTTTAGCTCACATAGTAAAGCGTAATTTTCTTAATTGCAGAAAGCTTATGTTTTCATCTTCACCATGGTTTCAATTTGAAAAACCCTTATTAGTAATAACAGCTGACATTCATGGCACTGCTGTACTCATCCTGGTGCAGAGTAATAACTTGCACAGTATGTGATCAATAAATGTTAAATGAATGGTTTGCTGTGCATCCCCAATTAAGCTGTCGGCTTCTTGAAGGCAGGAGCCACCCTTTAAATTTAGATTACTCATACTCCACACGCAGACAGCCTGGACATAGTGAGAGTTACATTGTTTCCTGAATAGAATTGTCCAATATGTCTAACACAGCACTAGGGGTCCAAGGAGTATATAAAGATTTCATCATAAATTCAAAGACAACGTGGAGGTGGCTGAGTACTAGGACCTTTGCAAATAACTAACGATCAGTAAATATTTGCTAAATGGCTGTGACTTATCGGCCAAGAGTCTTCCTGCCTCCCAGTTTTCCTGTCTTTCTCCAACTCATTGATCCTAGCTCTGACACTGAGATCACAGCCATGTATGTTGCCTTGGCCTCAGGACAGCTCTGCAGAGTATGAAAACCAATGACCACATGGGTTTGCTACATCCAGTAATCCCTCAACAAATGATGAAGGTAATCCCTATCCTGAACTGGGTACAGCTCTCCTTAACGCAAAGACAACATGCGTTACCCTCCTCCGTCCCAGTTCTTGGCCTTCATTCACCTGAGGGCTTGAGCCCAGTCGCTCTGAATCCTCAAAGGCGCCGCCATCTTAACCCCTCCTCCACCTGCCCGCCTCTTCCGCTTTTTGCTGGAAGTGGGTCGTCAAAGGGGCCGCGACAAGGACTGGGGGGCGGGCTCTATACTGAGAGGCCACCAATGAATACGCGTGACGGGTTCCTCTCCTCCCACTTCCGCGCTCAGCGCTCCCCACCGGAGGCTGGTTTTCGGCCGGAGGGTCGGAAGAGTTCCAAGGGCCTGCAAAACGGACGCCGACGTGCTGGAACGCGCGTCCGAATTCTCGTGTCCGAGCTGTTCGGTGAGCACTGCCTACCGCATCCTTGCGCGGTAAAGCGTAGCGGGCACAGCGGGACTGCGACTGGCTGCCACGTGCGCGCATGCGTCCTCTCATTAAAGTGGGAGAGTAGCTGCTCGTGACTTGGACAGTTGAATTTCCCATGCCTTCCTAGTCCAGGCCAGCTGCCGACCGTATAGCTTGCCCTGATCTCCAAGCATGGGTCTTCCTCTTTTTACTCCAGGGAAGACTGAAGCCGGGGTGTGGTGGGGAAAGAGTACCGTGGCATTTACTGAGCCCTGTTGTCCATGCACTTCTCTCTCACTATCATATTAATCCTTACATTAAATCTGTGAGTTAAATATTATTAAGGAGGAAGCTAAAAAGATTGTATGGTAAGATGTGGTACTGGTATTCGAATCTGGATCTCTTGGCTTAGAATCCAGGGCACTTTTTCTGTACAGTAATAAAAACTCATCTATTGAACTCTTTGGACGTGCCAGGCTTCTTACGTGCCTTATCTCTTTTAGACTTCAACAATCTTGTGAGGTAGACACTATCTCTGTTTTTCAAGAGAGATTATGAAGTGATTTTCTTAAGGTCACCCAGTGAGTCAGTGACAAAACTAGGTTTCCAATCCCGGTCTCTTTTCAAAGCCTATTTACCCCCTCCTTCCTTAGGTTATACCGCCTCCAAGTTTTGGGTAAGGGTATGGAGTCCTTAAATCCTTGTAATTTCCCTATTGCTTAACGTGGCCAACAAGACCTTGCTATGATTAGATACTTTCTCAGAGCGCCAGTTTCATTTGTTTTACAGTTCTCTTCATACGCTATTCTCCAGTCATACAGAACTTTCAGTTCCTTTCCTGAGTCAAATCCTGCCTCAACCTGTGCCCCTGCTCTTCCATTGAATGGAAATATTCCTTCTCCCCATCTCTGGCTAACTCCTATTCATCCTTCAAGTCTCAGTTTAGAAATCACTTCCTCCAGGAAGCCTTCCCCACTGTTCCTGCCATGTCTGGATTAGGTATTCCTCCAATGTGTTCCCAGTCTTAGGTATCTTTGCACACTGCATTGTAATCTGTTTATTATCTAGATTGTACACCATTAAGGCAGGAACTAAATCAGTCTTGGTAACTCCTGTATCCTCTAATGTAGTACCTCATACATGATAGGTACTCAATGATCCTTTGTTGAATGAACCAGAGAGACACAGGAAAGGCATTAAAGGGTGCTAGTCCCTTTAAAGCCTGTCATGGTGAAATATGTGTAAGTGCTGAGGTTATTTCCCTTGAAACCTTTCTCAAGTTCTTTCTGTAGGCTACTTTCTGCTGGATGCTCTGAAGCAGATGATCTTGGAAAGACAGTCTGGGCAAATCCACCTCACATTAAGCACTCTCACCCCATAGACTCATCTCTTGCCCTGGCCCATGCACACTCTATGCTACAGCCACACTGAACTCTCTATTACTCCTATATGTCAAACCCTACCTATATTTGGGTACTCTCCCAAGTGTTAAACTGTGTTCTTTTCCAACCATAGGAAAAGGCTAATAGGAGAAAAGAAGAGAAATTAATTCTTTTGGGGTGGATCCAAGACAGCTGCTCCAAAAAGGTAACATCTCACCTAATTCAAATTCCATTAGCAGAATCCACTCAAGCTTATTTAGTGCTGTGATAAACATTCTCATATACTTTATGTCATTCCATTGAGTTCAAACCATTTTGCAGGTCTATTCTCTTGCCAGGCCTACTGCTGATGGCACCAAGGTGAATCAGGCCCAGTATCTGTTCTCAATTAAGCTTATAGTCTCCAACAGGAGACAAATGTATAAATAGGCTATAACAGTGCAGTTTGGTCAGTATTATTTATAGTAGTGGAACCTCATAATCACATCCCTACTCTAACCTTGCCTCCATTGATGTTCTAGAGACTCCCAAAGATGTCAACTCAAGGCCATACCTGGGCCCGACAGGTGAAGAAGGAAGATGAGGAAGAGGACCCGCTGGACCAGCTGATCTCCCGTTCTGGCTGTGCGGCTTCCCATTATGCAGTACAAGAGTGCATGGCCCAGCACCAGGACTGGCGACAGTGTCAGCCACAGGTACAGGCCTTCAGGGACTGCATGAGTGAACAGCAGGCAAGGCGCAGGGAGGAGCTGCAGAGGAGGAAAGAGCAAGGCAGTGCCCACCACTGAGACCCCAAACCACCTATCCCCAGAGAATGGCCCTGTAGAAACTAGCACCCAGAGAGGTCTTAGGAAGAAGTCCTGAACAGCAGAAGTGTGGGCCAAGAGGTATAAAACTCGGGGATTATCTTTGGCTAAGACTGACGTTGAGAGCCGGGCATCTGTGGGTTTGGACATAACTGCTGTAAAGAGCTGTGATCTTGCTTTCTCGTGTGGCGGCGAGAGCAGAGAGTGCGCCATGAAGGCTTCCGGAACACTGCGAGAGTACAAGGTGGTGGGGCGCTGCCTGCCCACCCCCAAATGTCGCACTCCGCCCCTGTATTGCATGCGAATCTTTGCACCTAATCACGTCCTCGCCAAGTCCCACTTCTGGTACTTTGTGTCTCAGCTGAAAAAGATGAAGAAGTCTTCGGGGGAAATTGTCTACTGTGGACAGGTGTTCGAGAAATCCCCCTTGCGGGTGAAGAACTTCGGCATCTGGCTCCGCTATGACTCACGCAGCGGCACCCACAACATGTACCGGGAGTACCGGGACCTGACCACTGCGGGCGCCGTCACCCAGTGCTACAGAGACATGGGCACCCGACACCGTGCCCGGGCTCACTCCATCCAGATCAGGAAGGTGGAGGAGATTGCAGCCAGCAAGTGCCGCCGAGCAGCCGTCAAGCAGTTCCACGACTCCAAGATCAAGTTCCCGCTGCCCCACCGGGTCCTGCGTCGTCAGCACAAGCCACGCTTCACCACCAAGAGGCCCA